GCCACGATTTCAGGATATTTGCGTTGGCTTTTGTGTGCTTTATATATTTTTTGTTTTGTTTAATTTAATAGCCCAATTTTTTTAAAGCTTTGAGGTCTACATCGCCATAGTAATCCTCGCTATAAAAAGAAAGAAATGCATGCATTAGTATGAATTTGTTTCTTCATTTTTTTTCTCGTTCAGGTTCACGCTGCGTATACGTAATATTCAAAGGGCACACTAATTTTTCGGTTTGGCTTTGCGTTGATTTGCTTAATTAAATTCTTTAGCTTGACACGTGACTGTGACTATGTGTGTGGGTGAGTGTCTGTGTGTGTGTGTGCTTGGGATTCCGACATGGCATATGGTCGGCTAAGACAAATTGTATTGAGTTACAAATGGAACTTTTTCACATATTTCCTTGTACCGTAGAAAAGGAGATTATGAATTTCAGACAAGCTTTGAAACACTCATTTATTTATATACGCATTTGATGATTATATGATTTGTGGCAGTTAATCTGCTAGAAAGGGAAGCCAACAAAATCTTCCTGGATGGAAAGTATGGGGTCAATGGGAGTTAGGGTATCTCTCAATACGCACTTCCAACTAGAGCACTTACACTATTTTTTTTTTTTTTTTTTGCACTCTTTGGAATGTTGCTACATTTTGATTGCTGCTTTAATAAAGCAGTGTGCGCCCCCAGAGTGCCGCCCTTTGTCTAATAAATCAACAAAAGAATTTTTTATGAAAGCCATAATTAAAAAAAAAAAAAATAATATTGTTAAAAACTTGTTAAGAGCGAGTGGCGGATGGCTGATGAAAAGGCGAATGGCAGCTCTACAAGGATTTGCGTCACAGTCAGCTGAATGGGATGGCAGAGAGCGAAGCAACAGGACATCAAGGATTAAAAGAAGATGTTCGCTTGTTTCCTGCAATAACAACAATATCAACAGCTATGACCACACACAGCCACACACACAGGCAAGGAAAGCTAGAGAGACAGAGAGACAGCACGAGCATACGGAAGCCAGCCAATTGGCTTTAAGGCTCGCCGCACACAAGGACGACCAGCAGCAGCAGCAGCAGCAGCTGGAAGGACATGTACGCAGCGCCTCATACAAAATGCGCGATGCGGTCCAGCAAATGACAAAAAGCGCAAAGCTATTAAATTAAATTAAATGGAATTGGCCAAAACCCTGCGACATGGCATTCTAAGCTACAAAATATGGACAGAAATCGTTGTTTGCCTTTCTTCTTTTTGTGTTGTTCTGATAATATTTATTTATTATACCCAATGGGCAATGGGGTATATTAATAGTGCTAAGCAATGTGTAATGCCTACAAATAAAGTAGTATAAACTCCTGTTAGGGGCAGCATAGCTTGAAATGATGTAAACATAGAATTCTATGGACAGTTTAACTGGGAATAGTGCTTTAAGCTAAATTTCAAATACTGGTTAGAGTGGAGTCTTAATACTTTGAGATATATGAAAAGAGCATATTTGTGATATATTAAGTAAATTTCTGATTTATTAAAATATTATTCATAATGTGATCATTTGTAAAGGATAACTCAGAGATAACGATAATCTTTTTATTAATTTGAATGGGGGTCTAATTTAGTTTACGATATCGAAACACCATAATTAATTTAAACTATAATTTTACTATACACAGCATCCCTGATTAGAGCTTGATTAAAAAAAAAAAAAAAATAAATAAAAATATATAATAATAATAATTTCAAATATATTTATAAATTTATTATTTCTACTTTTCATTTTTACTTTCCAAAAGTCTAAGAAATCGACCTTTCATCTAGGTTTATTAATGTACTGAAATGATGCTGATTTAAGAATTCTAATCTGGATGAGAGATCGATATACTTAAGTCCACCCACAACCGTCTTAACTTCTCTGCCTAAAACTGTGAGATCTAGTCTAGTCTAATAGAGCATTTTGGTTTCTATACGTCACATCCTACTATCTTGTGTAGAATTTATTTTTATACCCTGAACCCATTGAAAATGGGAAATCAGGGTATAATGGTTTTGTGAAAAAGTATGTAACGGGCAGAAGGAGGCGTGGCAGACCCCATAAAGTATATATATTCTTGATCAGCGCGACGAGCTGAGTTGATATAGCCCTGTCCGTCTGTCCGTCCGTCCGTATGAGTGCGTCGATCTCAGAAGTTATAAGAGCTAGAAAGCTGAAATTTGGCATGCATACTCGTGTATACCATACGCAGTACGAGTTTGCTTTATTTTTTCGATAAATCATCCGATAACTTTTTTATCGAGAATAATCGAAAAATTGATTTTGTTTTTTTAGCCTAATTTGAACACTTTCAGACCTGGAGTCTTTAAATTTGCGTTGTATATAAAGTTAATCGATACAAAGATTTTGTAATTTACAGATTTTGGATACCACGCCCCCTTCGCCCCCAATTTGTAAAAAACGCATTTCAAGTACTAGAGACTTGTGCTTTGGAATGTACACACATATTCACCATATAATTACGTTCTAAAAGTTTCATTAAGATCGTATGTCTACAAAAGAAATTATTTAACAAATAAATTTTCATAATATTGCTCACACTGCAGCGCAGCCCAAGCGCAGTCGCTGCTTACTGCGCAGTTAGCAGAGCGCAGGCTTATGCATGCGTGTGGATGCATGTGTTTGTATGTGTGAATAAAATAAGTCCAGAATGATTAGAATATCAGCTTGGAGGGTTCAGGGTATCTCCTAGTCGAGCAGTCTCGACTGGAGCCTTCTTACTTGTTTATATTTCGATGATGCGCTCTCGTTTATATAGTTAGTCAGCTAATACTTGCTCTATATTATAAATTTATGCGTTGTGCTTAGTGCATCGTATTGGTAGTTAGGCTTAGCGGCTGCTGCTGCTGTTAGTTTTATGTGCTTGCTGTGCGTTTATAAGATGATTAAAATTAATTAGAGTCAAAACGTTAAAAGGATTTTCATAGCCAACACAGACAGTTGTCCAGGCAATCAGGAGGGGACAGACGAATGCAAGAGCAAGGCTATTATCCATCAACAGCAGCAGGAGTTTTTGAGCCAGGATCTGCTGCAGATGTCCTGCTGTATGGCTTGGACATGGCTCTATTTCCAACTGCCACACAGTTTCTTTGGCAGCAGCAACAGTTGCTGCTGTGTGGCGAGCGGTTTCGTCCAACTTAGTTTAATCATTTATGTTTATAAAACACTTTTATGTGCTTGGCGTTTGCCGTTATTCTGCTCGCTCCTGGCTGAAGCACGGACCAAAGGACTCACCGCTGTTGCTTGCAACAACTTTTAATTGGAGAATGCAACAACTACACGGAGCTGTGCAAAGCAGGTGAAAGCAAAATATGATAACAAGAGCTGAGCGCTGTTGTTGCTGGGATTTGTGTGTAGATACCCACTCGCTCAGTCTCCCTCTCCTGCTCTCTCTCTCTCTCTCGCTCTCTCTCGCTCTCTCTCCCTCTCTCTTTCTACTCTCTGATTCTTTATCTCTCTTTGTGGCTATAGCTGTTACCGCACTCTTAAGCAGGACCAAAAGCGAATTATGTGCATTTTGGCCACTTTGTACTAATTTTCCAAAATGTTGCAGTTCTGTGCGCGCTTTCAACCATTTTCCAGCACACACCTACACACACATAAACCGAAAATGTCCTTTTGCCTTGACTGCGCCTTGAGTTTGTCGAGTTTTATAATTTTTATTTAATTAGTTTTAAAACTCCTTCAAAAATGTGGCAAGTGTATGCGTCTGCACACATATACACAAACACACACACACTCATATATCTACACACCCACACACACACAGACAAAAGTCAACGACAAGGCATAGTAAAGTTTTTGCCCCCTTTTATGATTTAGTGGAGCGACCCGCTTGCCGCTCCCATGGCTGGCGCCCCTATCGAGGTAGCATTGTCCACGTGCTAGTGTGCGCTGGTGAGTGAGTGAGTGTGTGTGTGTGTGCGTTTGTCTGTCTGTGTGTTGGTTCTGCCTGCAATTGTGTTGATAATTTGAAAATTCATTTAAAGTTTTTGTATCGCGTTTTTGTTTATAGAATCTAATGAATAATTAACAAAGTTCTTGTGCATTTCAAAAGATGTCAACGATGTTGACGATGAAGTCCACGTCGACGCCACCGCCGCAGCCGACGCTGACGTCGACGTCGACGCTGGCATCGTTAGCAAAGACGTTGGACTCTCGAAAAGGCTGCCAAGTTTTCATTTGCGACAAATATGGCTGGCGTCGCAAAGTTTTCTGTTTACTTATTATTTACAGACTCGGCGACTTCAGACGGCAAACGCAGCCAAACAAAATGCGGAAATAAAGAAATAAAAAAAAAAAAAAAAAAAAAAACAAAACAAAATAAAATCACATGAACCTTGCTATTCGTCTGCCCGCACCACCCACCACATAGCTATTCCCACAGCCCAATGGCAAAATTATAAATAATTTACGAGTGTTTACGAGTTTGTTCCTACTTCTGGCCTAGCCCTGAAGCCACCCAAAAATTATTCGACTTTTAGTTGCTCAAATAGAGCTTTAAATCGTAGCTCGGGCAACCGAACTTTGCCTTGCTCGCTAGCTGCCTCAATTTTACTTTCACTACATATCAGGAACGTTACAGTGGAAATATTTCGGAGTGGTTTAGAGACTTGATTTCAAATTTCATAAAGTAGACAATGGAAAATAGTATTAATTACTGGAAATCAACTATGTGAGCTGAGCCAACTTTCAGATTAATTAGCATGTAAATTAATATACTTTATATAAGATGAAGAATCAAAACTACAGAAACTAATTGGTTATTTTTCATAAAATATTTATATTTACATATATTTAAGCTGAGCAAAATGTAATAGATATTGCTTTGCTATGTTTTATATAAAATATATATATTTATATAATCAAATAAAACTCATCTTCAGTCTTCAGCTACTTTATTTAAAATATATGTTTGACTTCCCCTTTAAGCTGAGCACTCTCATAAATAAGAACTATAAAATTTGAAGTTTTTTTTTTTAGTTTTTGTGTATTTTTTGTTTTATGTATAAAATAAAATTATAAGCTTATAAACAAAGATCACTTAAATGTACAAATCTCTCAATTTTACTCTGCAATTTGAAAGATTTTTCTCCCTCCTCGATGTTGTTTACACTCATTTTATCTTGTGTGTTTCGCACATTTGATTACGAATTTGTCTTTTTAGCCTTTTGGACCTAAACTTCATAAGTTTTCAAAATTGTGTTTGCAATTTGGAAGAGTTGAGGATATCAACAGTTGGATTTATGGATAGGTAAAAGATAATTAGAAACGTTTAGGATAGGAGATTGAGCTGATAATGAAATAGAGCTTGATCTTAAGGCTGGTTGAGTATTATTTTTTCACTTGTCGATTCTTGTTAGAGGTGAGACTTTGTGATGTGAGAGTAGTGGGAAAGTAGTTGGGCAAAGGATTCGAGTTGATATTGTTGTAGTTGTTTCTTTTCTGTTGTTATAGTATTGTAGTTGCTGTTGTTGTTGTTTTAGTTCTTATATTTGTTGTTGTTATGTTTATGAGGTGGCAGCTTTGGTTTTGGGCGCGTTCTTAGTGCGACCTTCAGTGTTCAATCCAGCTAGAAGCTCGCTTTTGCGGATGCTCTTCAAGTCCAGATCACCATAGTAGTCTTCGCTGCAATTGTAAAGGGACGAGGTAAAGACAAATGTGAGAATAGGCCAAGAGATATGTATGTGAGTGAGTGTGTGCCTGTGTGCGTATGCGTGTGTATGTGAGAGAGAGAGAGAGAGAGAGAGAGCGCGCGTGTCGATGCATGAATAGATACAAGAGTATTAGTGTAGAAGAATAGATCTCGAATCTGCTGAACGACTAAGAACTGTTGTCTGTGGTTGGGTGGCTGGGTGGTTGGGTGGTTCGGTGGATCGGTAGTGTGGTCTGTGGTGCAAGCGTAGCAAAATAAACTCAAAACTCAAATTCAACAACTCCAAGCAAAACCAAAGCAAACCAGGTGCCAAACATATTGTGTAGTCAAGCTTAACTGTTACAACTTACCAGCCGGGAACATCCTCGGGATCCTCGCAGTTGCCAGTGCCATCGCTGTCGCCAATCTTGAACACTGTGCCAATGGGGCAGCCATACTCGCGTGCCACGCCCTCCAGGCAAATGTAGTACTTGCGGCAGTCCTCGGGATGTGCGTGACGGGAGAAGGAGCCAGTATTAGCCAGCTCACCAGCAGCTGGGCAGGAGAAGCCATTGGCAACCTCTGCAAGTCAAAAGACAGTTAGTTCTCGCACTTTAGGAGCGCAGCCGTCTATTCGCAACTCACCTTCGTTCCTGCACTCGGGCACCTGATCGGCCCACATGCAGACGCGTGCATCGCGATCGTAGGCCAGGCCGGGTGAGCACTGGTACCTGGATGGCTCGCCGTTCCAGCAGTTCCAGAACACGTCGCACTTGTTCTCATCGGGGAAAATGCCGTACAGACGCGAGCAGTGAGGCGTGGTGATTGGAGGCTCTGCAAATGGAAGCATATGAGTTGAGCTAACCAACATTGATGGCAATCGGCGGTAAACCTACCCAACTCTGTGCGTTCACCGCAATCCACATTGTGCAGATAGTCGCAGTTCTCGGTGAGGAACTTGGAGTCTGAGGCATCGAAGGCCAGACCATTGCCGCAGGTCTTCAGCTCGGAGACGCCATTGTCGCACTTCCAGTATTTGTCGCAGGATGTATCGTGTGGATAGAAGCCGAAATCATCGGGGCACTTGAAACTCGTCTGGGCCACAGCTGCAATTACCAGAGAAAGTGTACGAAACGCAATTAGTATAAATTTCAAATGCAGCGCGTCAAGCAAACTAATTGAAATCAATTTGTTCCCCTGAATATTGTATTATTTTACGAGCGAAGCGTGGCGAGGCGACAGGTCGCGAGGTGAGACGGGACTAATAGGCCCCAGAGTCTATTCAAATTGCATGGCCAATGCCAATGGGCGTTTAATTGTTATATATAAGCATGCATTTACACGACGTTGTCAATGTTGTCGATGTTGTCGATGGTTTCGATGTTTTCGATGTTGTTGTTCCCAACGATTTGTCATCTTGTGCAAAAGGCATTCACTTTAAAAAGTCGCCTCAGACGATGGCTGCCAATAAATCTTTTGGCTGGCAACTTTCAGCAGACAGCTCTAGAGATCTGAGATACACACTTACACACACACACACACATACGCACGCGTTGACAGCTCAGGGCCAACTGCATTTACTTTTTGTGCTTGTAATTTGTTGTTGTTGTTTCTGTTGTCTTCTGTTTTGCTTCTTTTTTTTTGGGATGAAATTACAGCTTCGACGTCGACGCCGAACCCTGGCACGACAGAGTTGAAGCACCTGAAACGCGCCACCAAGGACTTATCGCGGTACCTCTCGCTCTAGCAGAGCAGCCCTCGCAGCTCCCACGCTGCAAGCTGGGAGCTCAGTGCAACCGCAGAGCGTAACGAACGCAAATTGCATTTATATACCCTAACTAATGTGGTGTATTTTTTTTACTGGCCTGCAATATGCAATGCATTTGATTTCATTTCGTTTAATTTCGTTTCAAATCAAATGGCAGCTGCAGCTGCAACAGCCAGCCACTAAATAATTATTCAACGTTTTTAGCATTCGCCAACGAACTCGCTCCAAATGAACAAATGCCCGAGTCCTGAGCCACACTCTGTGCCAGCCCTTGTGTGATAATCTAATTGCAAAACCACAAAACTGCGGTCATGGCTACAAATGCTCAATCAGAAGTGCCCTCTGACTCCTGACTCTACCTGACTCCGCCTGACTCGCTCAGCTGCCTCATCAAATGGATCAAAATAAAAAAAATTGAAACTCAAAAAAATATTTAGATGAAAAAGCCGACAGCTAAAACAACTCTTGATAAACCAAACAGAATGCAATTTTCATGTTGTGTAAACTAATCAAATATCAAAGTTTTTTTTTTCCTATATATGTAGAGTTCTGGTGCATATATATATATATATATATATATATGTATATATGTATATATATATATATATATATATATATATATATATATATATATATATATATATATATATATATATATATAATGCAATTGCAACAAAAGCCTTGCAGAAATCAAAATTGGCGATTATCAAATTATTTGCAGAATTTAATTAAAAACTTTGTTTTCCTATTGCATTTATTTACACGCGCACTCGTTATATCTGCTATGCGTGTGTATAAACACACTCATCAACTACACACACACACACACACACGCGCACATACGTATGTAGATGCTGATGCTGCACTCATATTTATTATGCGGACTTTTCGGTCAACTGCTCTAGCGGGAGCTGTTAGTCAATTGCGTTATAAAATAATATATAAAAACATTTTCATATATTCACTCGACTTGTTTACTCAAATATTGTTAATTATAGAGAAATTACATTTATAGTTTTTCAAAAGGGAACTCTGAATTCCACATAAATGAAATTCGAATGGAAATTGCCAAAAATTTGAGCTAAAAGTAATTAAGTATTTGCATTGACAACTATACTTCGTATGTCATTTGATATATTTAACTTGGAGAGCAATAATGGGGCAGTAAGCAAACTCAAGAAGAGTTTAAATATATTTTAAGACAATCTGTTATATTGTATGTTTATAAATATGTATATTTGTTTAACTTTTGGACTCATACAAATATTGTGCTCGGCAATATTTCACTATTTGGCTTGCAGCTCAGGTGGGCCAGCAGCTGGAATGCTTTTTCGAAAAAGAGGAACTTTCAAGCACTTCGCTGCTGTACCCACACACATAACATTCAACAACTAACAAACAAAAGCTAAACTCTCCCACAGAGAGAGAGAGTGTGTGTGTGTGTACCAACAGTTATAATAATTTAGTTTGTTGTTGCAGCAACCGAAGCAGTGCACAAAAAGCGCATTCCAATGCAAGTGCAACTGCGCCAAAAACCCCCAGCTCGTCTCGAGGCTGGCCATGCAGCTGTAAATGTGTGGACTGGGGCATGAGGCATGCGGCATGTGGCATGTGGGATGTGGGCTGTGGCATGGGGCATGGGGCATAGCCTGTGGCAGCCGCAGCAGCAGACCGCAGCACTAATGCGCTTACATATGTGCATAGTGTGCTGCGATGCCCACACTGATGATTACATTGAGTTATGTACATTTGTATGTCTCACTTACTCTATGTGTGTGTGTGTATGTGTGTACATTTGTCGCGTAGCGTAAATACCACATGTTAACTAAACAATTACCTTTGAGCAGCTGCTGCCGCTGCTGCTGGCGCTTGCTGCCGGCCAAAGTGGCGTATACGCTATAAATTTACACTAGTTGCAGCTAAGTAAAAAGTGCACTGAAAGGAAAGAGAGCCAGTGGAATGTTCTAATGAAAGCTGAACTCAAATTGATCAAAGAGTAGCCAGCAACACAATTAAATGTTTTTTAACTCAGCTCGAGGTTGTTTAACCACAGAAAAACCTAAAGAGGTGCGACTTCTAATACTAAGCTTGTCTAATATGAGCTCTACATTCTATATATTTGTATAGGTATTATCATATATTTGCTATAAATATACAAGAAGAAGATTAAGGTCACTCGGTATTGGCTCAGTAAAAAGATGCTTATCTTCTTCCTCTATTCTCTATTCTATTATAACAATAATTTTTATTATTATTTTTATATACCTTTTTGTACATTTCAAAGCCAAACATGTATTTAATTTTAACAATAAACAATGCTCGTCTCTATTCTTAATACAATCCGCTTTTAGCTATTATTGTTTTGATCGCATTTTGATTTCTTGGTATTTCCTTGGTTGCGATTTGAAGTAAGCTTCGAGGAACCACTCACTGATGTCATTTGTGGAATATTTCGAGCGCTAATTAAGCATTCATTCTAGAAGCTGATCTGCTAAATGAAAACGAAAACGATAACGAAAACGAAAACGAAAACGAAAGCAAAAGCCAAGCGATTCTAGGCCGCATTCAAGTTGCGGCTAAACCGGTTAGACGTGATATTGGCAACGGGTCTGCTGCCACTTACGACTACTAACCCACTCGCAATTAAGCCGCGCTGCGGCTGACAGTTCCGGCCGGCACGCCCTGCGCATTCTTCTGTCGCACATGGCTTAAATGCCTCGATTGGCCAATCTCACAAATTAGCGGTCTTTACTTAGTTAGACTGATTGTTGTCGCATGTTGCATGCTGTTTAATTTGCTGTTTGCAATAATTGTTTTACCTATCAATTGTGAGCGCTTAATTACGTACTTATTTTTGTTTAACAGTATGTAAGCATGTGTGTGTTTAAATAATAAATTTGTATTGACATTTTAACAGTGAAACCGCCAATTGTATTGGTCTTGTCGGTTGAATGCATATCGTTCCAGCTGCTGCAGTCAACTTTTCCTGCTGTTGTTGTTGTTTCTACTCATATCTACGCCTGTTTATCCGGTCGTCCATTAACATAATCATTTAATTAACCAAAACTTTACACGCACACACACACACACACATAGTTGATAACGCGCTTCATAGCATTCAAATTAACAAAGAGGAGAAAAAAATATTACAGCGAAAAAAAAAGTGAGTTATATTAATTTATGTTGCACCTAAATGACAGACATTGTCAAGATGCAAATAACACAAATAAATGAATAATTCAATTTGAACAATGAATACATTCGCAAATTACAGCTACATAATTTATTTACAACAATGCCAATTGATATGTGATATGCACATGGCAGAGCATTAACTATTATTACTATTATTATTACTACTACATACGGCCCCCCCAAGGCAATCAATTGCCAAATGGGGCATTCACATAGAGTGAGAGTTTTAATTGCAGTGCAGCTCGAACAAGGATCATTTAAATATACAAATCAGATTACAGTGCTGAAAACCATGCAGCTAAGATTGAATTGGACAAAATATGTATAGGATAGAGAATATATATAACAATATGTTTGCAGTTAACTAACTGAGCTCCTGCTACTCTACTTATATTTGCCATTTGAGGAAAGACTTTGATTTATACAAGTAGTAAACTCTATATAAGGATGGTATATATATGCTATATAGATTTGTCGATTATTGGGAATTAATTTCAATTAAATGACAGACTTAGTTCTCTTCTCCTTGTCAGCTCTTGCTCTGAAATTTAAATATATTTCATTAGTTATTTCTCTTCTTCCTGACCGCTCTTGCTCTTCACTTTTTCCATATATCTTCGATATGCCTCTATAGCCAGAGATCCCTCTCAGCCTTTGAGCAGTTCTTATATCAATATTTACTGCAATATCAGCTAGAGGCCATTCATCAATGCTGTCATCTATGGCATTCCTTTCTAGATGCATATCAAAATTCGTATGGCTACGTGTCCTGCAAATATCATGACAAATAATGACAAATTTGCATTTCGTGTCAGGCATTGAGCCTGCGCTACAGTGACTCATAAATATGAATATCAACAGAGGCCGGTGCATTGAACTGCTCAAGCTAGATGTGTATAAATACACACACACACACACACACTCACACACACTTAGACGCTCGCACACCCACTTGAAAGGCAACAAATTCCAGCGAAAAACACTCGAAGTCAACTGTGCTGAAAGTTGCCCTGGCAGACCGCGGCCCAAGTATGTGGTGTGTATTTGCTGTGTCTTTGGTGTGTATATTTGTATTTGAACTCATAATCGTTAGCCGCACGAGGGCTGCAATCAGAGCTTCAGCTTAATGTTATTGTTGTTGGGGCGTATTTTTTGTCTTCTAGCTAGCAGCTCACAATAGGTGTTTTGTGGCACTTGCAACTATCTATCATTTGGGCTTCTGGCAAATTCTTTGTGCCCGTTGTTGTTGCTGTTGTTGTTGTTGTTGCCATTGTTGTCTGGCGCCAAGACATTGCCGGCCATATAAATCAAGAAAATTGCTGACATTTAAGCACGTTTCATTTCATTTCGTTTCGTTACGTTTCTTTCGTAGCTCCTACTTTGACTAACGGCAATTTGGGGTCTACGATATTTGCACAGCAACAGCAACAACAACAACAATTTTGCTTTGTAGCAGCATTTCCGCCAAATGTTGCTACTGTTCTTCGCTTTTGGTTCTTTAAGCCAAGCCAAGAAGCCGTTCCTATTTTTATTTTTCTTTCTGCCATAATGATATTTAAATATTTACCCACATTGCTGCCGGCATGCAACGTATGTGGGTTAATCTGCTTTTCAATTGTTTGCCTAATATTTGTTTTTGCTGCTGTTGTTGTTGCTCTTGTTGTTGTTGCTGTTGTTGTCGAGTTTGTGCGTCATTCAAGCCACAGTCTCAAATAGTTTCTGACGCGTCATATAGAGCCATAAATCCGCCTTAGCCTATGCTCAAAAAAGTTATAGATTTATTTTTCAAATTTAACGCATCGACGACAGCCTGAGCTGCGCTACCACAAAAATGCTGAGAGAAAGAGAGAGAGAGAGAGAGGGAGAGAGGGCCATACGAGTGGCAGCAAATGGCAAAAATGTGGCACGCAAATTGACTTTCGAGTGGCGTCAGCGCATTTAAGAGTTGTGTTTTGTTTTTTTTTTTTTTTTTTTTTTTGACATTTGTTGTTGACTTTTTTTTACACTTGCCTCTGGTCCCATAAATCAGCGCAGATACCCAGCTAATGTGTGTGTGCGAGTGTGTGTGTGGCTGGTGTTTGTTGTGCCACTAATGCAAGCCATAGCTCGCGCAGCTGTGTGTCTCTGTGTGTGTGTGCGCGTGTGTGTGTGCTTTGGCCATTTCATTTGATTTTGTTGCCACAAAATAAAAACTTTTCAAGCGTGACTTGCTGCTGCTGCTGCTGCTGGCTGTGTTGTTGCTGTGGTGTGGCAATAACAAAATGGCAGCACACATATATTGTTTGCATTTGTTACGCTTTTTGCTGCTGCTGATACTAAACCGCAGCAGTAGCAGCGGCAGCGGCAGCCAATGCAAAAATCCAGCAGCAAGAAAAATAAAAATGAGTCGCGCAACCGAATGCGGAAATTTATTGTGTTTTTCGTCGCTTTTCGGAAATCTTTTGAACAGCTCAAATTGTTTATCGCCGTGATTAGCATGCTTGTGGCAACATTTGGGCCAAGTGTTTGCGTATTTGGCCAACAACATTTGATGTTGCATAATTTATTAGCCAGTAGCAACAGCAGCAGCAGCAACAGCAGCAACTACGACAACAAGCAACTTGAACTTGACAATGCGCTGCATGCGCCTGGCTTAGGCCCATTAAGTGTTGTTTTGCTGTTGTTAAGTTTAATAACTTTGAAAATTGCTGCCAATTAAAAGTGAAGTGGCTAAGAAAATACAGCAACAAAATGCATGTCACGCAATTGGCCAGAGGCGATTTTACTTTTTTCTTCGATTTTACGTTTGTTGTTGTTGTTGCTTTCCAATTGAATAACCAACGACAGCAACAACAACCAGAGAGACAAACTCCAAACGTCAACAATGCTGCGGCTAAAAACACTTTGATGGCCCAGTTGAAACAAGTTTGGCTAATGGGCCGCCTGGGCGTGTCAGCTGCGTATTTGAAATTCCTGTGCCGAAAATCAAAAACAAAATATCACGCAGTTATCTTTTCAATTAGCCGGCTGCCAACGTGTCATAAAAATATGTAAATTTGTTGCTTGTTTTTTGTTTTGTGCAAATATTGTGAAGAAGAAGAAGCAGAAGCAGAAGCAGATGCAGAAGCAGAAGAGAAGGGATTTCAATGTCAATGTCATGAATGTCATGCAAATGTGGCCATAAATTGACCCAAGACTTGAGATCATTTATAACAGCGATCATCGTGCAGATAATGATGATGCTGGCGATGATGATAATGACGATGATGTAAGCGAGTGGTGCAGCCAAGCCGAACCAGACAGCGCCAGCGCCTGACTCTGTTGTAATTTCTTGCACTCTGAAAGGTGTCGCCACGCGATGAGGTAATGAAATCGATTCGAACCAATAGATGCAGATACAGCTACGGATATAGATACAGCTACAGCTACAGCTACAGCTACAGCTACAGCTACAGATATAGATATAGATACAGCTATAGATACATCTACAGCGAATGTAATCGTCTGTGTGGTTGGGGTGGGCTATAGAAAATGCAAGTAAACGTGTTGGGTTGCTGCAACATGGCTAACTCCAATTGGCTCTTTGGCTCGATTACGCTTATGGTTTGCATTTGGATTTTTCGCCTTTGCTTATTTCTGTTTACATTTTTTTCTTGTGCTATTTTGTGATTTTCATTTTGTATTTTCCGCCTTTTCGAATTCGAATTCGAAAGTGGGCCAAGCTGGGCGATAGTTGATCAGAGCTGCTGATCACTTGTTGCACAAGCGGGCGCTTTTATAACACACTCGATTGAAAAAAACACTTCTTTCTTTAATTTTTTTTTTTTTTTTTGGCTTGTTGGTTTTTTGATTTTCTTTTTAACACTGTGCAGCTCGAACGCTTGTCAAGTGTCCTTCAGCAATTGGCTGATTGCGTAAGCGCAAGCTGTCTTTGGCTCCCTGAGCGCTGTCTCGGCTCTTGGGAATTTCTCTCATTTCTCTGATCGACATGGATATGCATGTAGGTGTGTATGTATGTATGTATGTAGCTAACAATTAATACATACCGGCTCCGAATAATGCCACAAACACAACTAAAAATCTCTTCATTGTGCGGTTTTAGTTTATTGCTGTTGTGTATTTGGTAATAATGCTTTTAACCGTTGCTCGCCGATACGTAACCGAATCTGAGAGAGTAGGGGGGAGGCGCTCGCAGCACTTGAACAAAACTTTGACTTTGCGCACCACTTGGACCGACGACTTGAAACTGTGTGTGGCTCTGGCTGGTGCGGGAGCTTTTTATACCGCTGCGCATGCGCGCCAGCCGCGAACAATCCAGACGAACGTTGGCGGCGGCAGCGACGCGCACGCCGGCTGCGCAGCCGCAACGGTGGCGACGAGGCGACGTTCACTGGCAAACGATTGCAACGGTACACAGCACAGCAAGGCGGTCTGGGGCTCATAGCAGCCAGCTTTGGTATTACTTACAGCAGCTACCTGGCCTTGTCGCACCTGTGAGAATTGGCCTTTCTCTCTCTTCTTTTCGCTCATGCAGCGCTGCTTACGCTCTCTTACTTTTACGCTCTGTGTCTCCTTCTCTGTCTCTCTCTCTCTCTCTTTTTCTCTTTTTCTGTCTCTTTCGTGTATACGTTTAATTGTAATTATTAGCGACGCGTCGCTTTTAACTGTAAGTTAGCTTGTTTTGTATGCACGCGGCGCACTGTGGTCGCCAGCTGCGTCGACTGCGCTGCCAGCGTCGCATTGTTGTATTTCGGTTGCCCCCAAAGCGAACCATTCCTCAATTGATCTGCGCCGTTACGTTTTCCATCTTGAGGCGGGAGCTGCAAATGGAATTTTGTTGCCTAAAAGTTCAGCATGTCTAGGTGTATGCGTGTGTGTGTGAGTGTGTGTAGGCAACTGGCATCCAGTTCGATTTGTTGTTGATGTTTGTAGCTAATTATGGATTGGCTTTTTGTGCGAATGCCGGCCTCAGGGCACGGCTTCTACTTACCGACCCAAAATAGCAAAAATGAAGAAAAAAAAGCTGAATCTCTAGTTGAACTTCACCTAATTGGCTGAAACCATACATGTGTGTGTGTGTGTCTGGGTGAATGTGTGTGAGTGCATGTTTTGCGGGTGTGTGTGTGTGAGCGTGTGTTGCCTGCCTTGTGCCTGAGTCATGCGCCTGGCATTTCCAGCAACAGCTCTAGGCGTGTTGCGTATACGCCACGTTGTCTGTGTAGAATGTAGTTGGCTTACCCTGGCAGAGTTGGTTTTTAAAGGAATGGGTTAAGGCTTAATTCATAAGGATTATGTGTGAACTCTAATGATTATACCGTAGCACTGTAAATAAGGCTATCATAGCTTTTAGCTTTAATAATAAGACAAATTTTGTGATGTTGAATATACCGAATTCATAGATAACAGAAAAGTTTTTTAAATAGAATTGTTAGCTCAATTACTTGTCCACTCATCATTCCTTCATATCTTTCAATTGAGCAGAGCTAACTATTCAAGCTGCTGCGTCAATTGGCTCAGCGTCATATTAAATGTTAATCAACGCAATTAACATGATTTCTTAATGTAAAGGCAATGTGATGGCCAACCGGTGGCCGGCAATGCAATTGCAATTGATATGCCGCTGCACTCGCACATAAACAAATACGCACTCGCTGACTGCGGCTTGGCATTAAAACCAGGCCGTCAACTGGCGATGCGTGCAAGTAAAAGGTAGGCCAGCCAGTCACAGTCACAGTCACAGTGCAGTCGCAGTCGCAGTCACAGTCACAGTCATAGCTCCAATTGCAGTTGCTGCAGCCACGCCAGCAACTATTAAAACTGACCCAGCGCGGCGGTCAACGACGAACACTCAACGGCGCCGCAGCAACAACAACAACAAACTGTTGAAAATGTGTGCAATTAAATGCAAGAAATGTGATTCAAGGTTTCGGAATGCAGGAAGAATATGGAATTACAGCCATAGCCACAGTCAACAACAACAACAACAACAAAAACAAAAACAAGAATCGACTGGCAGAACAATTACAGCTGCCAACGACTCGAGACTGCAAATTTGTAGTAGTCGGTCGAGAGTGGTCTGTAGCCCGACCCCGGGCCTGGCTCAGTGTGTTATTGAAGTGGTCTCTAGAAAACCTGCGGCTACCCACAGTCCCAGACAGCGAACCAGTTTTAGTAGTGCGAAAAAAAAACGACAACAGAAATAAACACAAACTAAGCTACCTTGTCAGAGTTATGCTTTCGCTTTCAATAGCTGCTGCTGCTGCTGCTGCTGCTAACTGCATTGCTACTGCATAGTTTGCAGGCCAGTTATAAGTATACACTCAGCTTATAGAAAAGGCCACTGCCTAAAGCCTTTATATTTAGCTATGAGCTAAAAATGGCTTTTAGCTCCGCAGCACCTACAAAATTGAAAAATCAAAATTTTCATTTTGACCTGGCATAGAGTAATTAAATTTATGTTGAGAAATTACTACTTTACACAAGATATCAGATATCTTATGCCATTGGTAGTAGATATATAGAAATAGTAGTAGATCCATAAAAATAGTTGTAGATCTATAACAATTCAAAAAATTTATAAATATTTTATAGACAAATATCTCACTTTTCACAATTACGCCTGAATATAGTAGTAGATATATAGAAATAGTAGTAGATCCATGAAAATAGTTGTAGATCCATATCGGGCAAGTTCTTGTATTGCATAGCCACGTGAACACATTTTGTAATCATGGCACGATTATTGTAATCCATTTCAAGACCATGAAACTAAACTTAATACTACTTCTTGATGACAGTTTTTATACAAGAATTGATTTTGTGTAACAACGAAATTATTGCTACAAATTTTCTAGTAAACATTAGCAAAATCAAGTTTCAATTAATATAGAAAATCGTATTAAAAGCTTATCAATATTTAACAACTTCTAACTTCATAAAGCGTATCAGATCTTCGCTCAGCTGGTGATAGCATATCTATCTAGCTTGCTTTATATGTTGCACCCGATTTTTAGGGTTTGTTTGGCTAGCCCCTCCAAAAACAAGAGACCCAAAAAAAAGGAAATAAAAAAAAAAAAAAAAAAAACGACTAAAAACCCGTTTGCCATGCAGCTGTCAGACGACGTCTGGCCTGTTATAGATCGGGTTGAGCCTGGCATTTCGATGAGTGTGCTACCCAGGGCGAGCAATGTTTATGGCAGCGGCAAGCAGCGCTCCACTCTAAATTGAATGCCAAATCGCTGAGAATATTAGCCAGCCAGCCAGCCCGCCAACTGGCTAACTAACTGCTTATTGGCCAACAAAACACCAAACTCCAAACAGCAAACACCAAGCTCACTCTCGCACTGTATAATTTGCGGACAAGCAGTTCCAAAGTATTTGAAAAATGCAAAAATTGCATCAGCACTTGGCTTAGATTGTGAGCAGTGCTTTGTTTTTGTTTTTCTTTTTCTTTGCTTTTAATTGTTGAGTTCAGCTGGGCTGCTTGTGGGTGGGTGCGGCGTTTACCGCCACGTTGACGTCGCATATGCAACGCGGAAGAAAAGTTACCAACGCTGGCTTGGCTTGGCTTGGCTTGGCGTGGCTTGGCCTGTCTTGGCTTGGCCTGGCCTACTCTCTGTCTCCCCGCACTGCATGCCATTCGTATGCTATCTGATTCGTCGCACACCCATGCAGTAAATGCCATATGTGTGTGCATGTGCGTCTGTCTGTGTTCAATTAAGCCAATTCGCTGAAGACCTGGCCGGTAGTGGGGGCCCCTCCGATTTGGCTGTGCAAGTTCTTAATGCGTCTTTAGCAAGTGCATTTCGAAACGGTAATTTGTCGTTAACTGTTGCTGCCGCTCGTTCGTGAGTTGAATCTTTCGTTTGTCATACGCTCAAAACACAAAACTAAAGGAATACAAAATAAATAACATTAAAAAAAAACCGTTAGAACGGGTTTGCGTACGGTGAAGGTGTTGGCAAGCTTCATACAACTATTTCTGTCCCATTTCGACGTCTGTCTGTCGGAAATTGGCTAAGCTCCACCTGGCTAAGGTTAACCTTAGCGTAGTTGACATTTTCTCATTAATAACTGAATAAATTGAGGCTGAATTGCAAATTGTTTAATTAGACAACGACCTTGCTTGTAAGTGACCGAGTTGCTAGAGCAGCTCAGCTAGGGCTGAGATGTGGCATTATTATTTAGCGAAAGGTCACAGCCAGTGTTATGTATGCTATGATAACTAACCTATTTCCATTCGCAATTTATGGCTGACATATGTAAGTATTGGCAAACAACTTGCCGCTATCGTCGCACTATATTGAAATCTCTAGCTTCATGAATGTTAAAGTCTCTCTCCATATTTTTACTTTCTGCGCAGAAACTCTTCTGCGAAATTCTTATCCGGTTGAATCTTCATTTTTACTTTCGGAACAGATATTACGTGCAATGTTGTAGAACTAGCTGAGACTCCATTCATGTGCCTACAAAGCCAATTTATTTGCGACTTCTGAGTCTCAGAATGTTTTCGATGAGCAGCTCAGATAAGGCTATCTGTCCACTACGTGCTATACATTTATGCCAGAAATAGTTTAATTGCTCTTATTTTGCTGTTCTTGAGCCTGCTGGCAGCGAGCATTATAAAGATTTATGCTACACTCAACTCTAGCAAGATTTCCGGTGCAGAATTTTAATAGCTCTAGTCTATCCAATCTCTGCTCGATTCAAGTTCAGTTCTGTGCTGTAATCTTAATGTGGATATCTCTTTGATGGGAACTTTTGGCGAAAAACAAACTTTTTTTATTTCATTTGGAAGAATCGGTTGTTTGAGTGACTTGTTCAGAGCATGAATTTTATATGATCCAGCGCATTTCGAAATCTTGATAAGTTTGATTTATAAACCTTTAACAAATACTGCGCAACCTTTACCAGGCTTAGCTAATGTTTATTAGAGCCCCTGCCTAATGGCCGTATTGACACATTGACAACAATATTGTTTACATCACTTTACGTAAGACTCATTTACGAGATATTTAGGGAACAGTCCCTTGGGCTGGGTAAAAATGAAAAAATCACCTTTGGGCCGATAGAAAAGTGCAGCTCCACAAAGTGCAGCAAATGTAACGGGGCGATTTCTATATATAGATGGAGATATATTTGTATATTTATTGTACAATAACAATATTTCTCATTTCACATTTCTCATTTCACAGTTCACAGTTTTCATTTATTAACTAATTTCGGATTTACGTAATCCCAAAATCGTTCAGGCCTCAGCGACGGCGTTTACACGCAATCGCCACACTGAGAGTCGAGGTCAATGATCAGTGAAATTTACTTTCAAAAACAAAAAGAAAAAATCAGCTTTTCTGTTGACTGAAAAGCGATCGGCAAATAGCTCCAGCGGAAACCCAAGCGCCAAGTTTCTTGAGCCGCCGTTTGGGCAACTTCGAACTGCAAAGCCAACAAAAAATGCCTTTGTAATGCGGTTTGGGGCTTTGGGGGACATGTTTATTATGCTCAAATAGGGCACAGCCAACGCCCTAGCTTGTCGCTGCTTGTCATAACTATTATAATTATCGTCATCATCATCGGCAACATCATCATCATAACGAGCAGCCGCTGCTTGCCCACACCTTGTGGCCATTAGCCGCAGAGACCCAGCCCCCGTTCCCAATCCAATCACGACAATGGAGCGCTGCATTTTACCACACTTGAAATCGCAATACAATGAATATATCTGCATAATTAATTCCCACTAACGAAGATGTTGTCGAGAGTTAATGAGTGTGGCTCGTTGTTCACCATTTGCGCCAAAATTGAAGGCAACAAACACGCGCAGGTTGTTGACTTCTTTGTCTGCGTCTGGGGCCCACTTTCGGTTTCGGTTTTGGCTTCGGCTTCGGTTTCGGCTTCGGCTTTGATTTTATTTTCATTTTCAGTTTCAGTTTCAGTTTGGGCTTCAGCTTTTGGCTGCTTCTATTGTCCATGCAATTGGTCGCAGCTGTCACATTGGGCGATGCCATCTCGCCAATTCACTTGCAAAGCACACACACACACACACACACACACACACACACACACACACACACACACACACACACACACACACACACACACACACACACACACACACACACACACACACACACACACACACAGATGTATTTTTAATTATGGCCATTCCGAGCACTTGATATTTGTTGGCCAAAAACTAATCGGCTTTCAGTTTCCATTTTCCAGACGCAAATCGCGAACAGCTTGCCCAACGAGCTGATGTATTTTTAATTATACTGCGATTTCCTTTGGCTTCTCCAGATCTCAATAAAAATCGAAATACAGCAAGAGAGGTTCACTTGTTCGAGTATATAGTATATGCATATATAACGTCCTGCAGCTTTTATTTTGGCCAAGTTCAAAAGCCAGAAAGTAAACCGAGGACGCTTCTCTGTTATCTGAATATCGTGTAGTATTTTATCAAAGCGCTTGCAGTTTCATTTAATGGATTAAACATGCACGAATCGAACTCGAATCGATTTCTCACCCATAAAATATGCATTGTATTTATTTTGTTTTTAGTTTTAATTTTTATCCGCTGAACGCGCCTTTGCCAAAAACTAGGTTATAACCTTGAAATCCCACAAAAGAAACGTTTAAAATTTCAAACTTATCAATAAATTCATGACGCTGCGACACAAAGCCAGGCTGCGCATCAAAAGAAAGCAACAAAAGAAACAAAACTCAAACAGAAGCAGAAACAAAAAACGGAGTAAAAAAAAAAAGCAGCATAAATCTATATTCAAATCCATGCTAAGCTCCATTAAAATGCTAAACAGTCAAAAGCGTTTCGCAATCCCATCAGAAACAGACAAAAATATTCCAACGGGTCGGGCAACAGCTGTAAACCTGCATTTCAAATTGCCAAAGGTCAGGCCAAGAAGACGCTGCAGACGCAGACGATGTTGCAGCCGCGCATCCCCGAAAGCCAGTTCAGTCAGTGTCCCACTCTGCAGCTGTGTGTCATCATCGTCATCATTATCATGACTAGCATCATTATGAGCATTGCTACATAGGCTGCATTCAGCATAAAAGCTGTTTGGCAACAACAACAACAACAGCAGCATCATCGAGCCATATAACAATTAACCATATAACGAAAATTTGTACAAATTGACAAACTCTGAGTGAAAGAAGAGAGGAAACGAGCCAGCAACAAGAAAAAAAAAAAAAACAGAAATTGATACACGAGTGAAAAAAAACAAGAAAGAAATAAATGAAAATGAAAAGAAAAAACAAACTGGATTTATAATGGCTAAAAACACGCAAGAAAAACAAGCCAAGGTCATTGCGAAGCGGCCGAGAGCTGCGAAAGAAATTGTGGAATCATGTGGAATAACAATACACTGAGCAGAATCATGAATTAACAAAAAGCCAATTAACAGAACTCTAATTGAGAACTCAGCGCAAAACAAAGTCTTAGCAGAGCGCTCATCTGGCAGCTGACAGAAATAGAGAATAGAAATGGGAGACGAAAATAAATTAGATATTAAAAATACTTACACTGAAAAATATGTTTGGTAAGTTATGAGTGGCGATATGAGAGAAAATATTTGAATTTTTTTTATTTAAAATTATGAAAATATACTTGTTGAGACAAGGTAAAGAAAGGCAGATATTCAATCAATTGCAATCAACTAAATATGACATATTATATATTCATTCATAATATCTTGATATAGAGTAGGTTATTGATCTGGCTTTTCTTCAACCGATTGTATAACTATGAACTCCAGTTGGAGTCGAAATCAGCTGAAATGCTTTCAATTCAGAAATCTTTTCAGCAGGGGCAATCGAAAGAGTGAGAGTTTTGAAGTAATGCAGCAAATTTTCAAGCCTCATTCAGACAAAATGATTTGCAAACACTCAAATGATTTTCTCACAGTGTGCAAATAAACGTGCCTTGGCGATCTACTGGTTCAGGATTGTGGCAGAGGCACTTGTGGTTTCATTTTATTTCATTTCATATTTTGCGGCATGGCAGAACCACTTTTCGCTTGCAATTACTTGAGACGCGGTAGCACATAAAGCAGATGATCATGACAAGCAATATGATAATGATGAAGATGTTGAAGATGGAGATGAAGATGGTGCTGAAGCTGAAGTTGAAGCTGAAGCTGGAGATGAAGATGAAGATTTTCGTGCGCAGTTGGGCAGAAGTGACTGTGCGACGTGTTAAACATGTTTTGGCGAAACATCAACAGCTCGAGAAATCCGGTTGCTCAAATATGCGTAAAGTGGGACGATGTCGCTCCTTTACAAACAGCCACAAGAGCAACAACAGCAACATCAACCAGCAATAGCAACGCTCTGTAATATTATTAAATGCCTGAAAACTGGCCAGGCAAAATGCCAAAACCCAACAAATAAACATCAAAACAATTAACAGTCGAAGAGATACACACACACACACACAAACATAGAAAATGAAAAAAAAAGAGTCCAAGTGGTTGATTTGTATGTGACCTCATTGGCAGGTGTTGATTAATAAAAATGCAACTAGCTTGGGCCGGGCCTGGGTCGGGCCCATTGCGTAAGCCGTTTGAGGTGTGCCCCGCCCATCGCGTAATGCTGCTCTTTGGCAATCCCACTGAGAATCTCTCAGATGGCACAACTTTTAACTCTTGCACAACCAGCTCTAAACTTGAACTATTTGACGCGCCACTGATAATGTATGCCCCTTATCAGCCCATTCCAGTGAACCTTCGGTAGTCCAGTTCGGATTATCAATAGAACTAACTAAAATTTGTGAATTTGAGTTGCTCACATTTTTGGCAACTTTTCAGTATTTGCTCGTACTTAGAGGGTGTTGGAACTCATTAGTGAGATCATGCGTCTGCTGCTTCTTGCAACATGCCTGACTGTGGTAAGAATTGGAGTAGGATCAGCTGCCAAGTGAACTGCCTGATTGCCGTGTATAACAGTGGATTATTGTTTAAAATGAGAGAAAAGATAGACACGGTTAGGGAAAGAGAAAAAGGAAAACTGTTATAAATCTCTGTATCGATATATAAATATAATGTGACGGCTTGAATTGCTTATAAAGCTGTTTTTCTGAAATCGTCAATCAACATAACTTGAAAATGTTGCTAGTAAAGAGTTCTTGTATATAAATTTCTACTTTTCTTTACATTAATCTAGTACTGTGTTGTGTTATATTTGCTTTCTTATCACTAAATCTCTGTATCAGGGAAACCTATACAACCTACTCTGTTCAATTTATTAGCTGCTTGGTATTTCTCTCTGCATTCTTGCAGCTACCGAGCTGGGGGCTGCTGAACGGCGAGCAGCGCACTTTAAAGAAGTGTCTGAGCAGCTATGGAGGACTCAATGAGGATAATGTGAAGCGCCTGGAGCGATACACCCAATGGTCGGAGAGCTACGAGGAGTTGCCCTGCTTCACGCAGTGCTACCTCAACGAGATGTTCGAGTTCTACCACGATCAGGAGGGCTTCGACGAGCGCCGCATCAGGCAGCACTTCGGCGACGCGGTCTTCGAGGCGTGCAAAGAGCGGCTGAAGCTGGGCCCTGAGCAGAAGGAGAGCAGCTGCGAGCACGCCTATGCGGGCTTTCACTGCATTGTCAGCGTGAGTGCGATAAGCCGGACCGTGGGCCACTGACCGCTGGGCTGATAACGGCGGCTGCTCGAGTTGCCTCTACTACATGGGCCTGTTGTTGTTTACTTGCAGCTGGAGAAAGATCCGTTCATACTGATCGAAAAGATGCCAAATGTCACGCGCACTGCCAAGTCGGCGATGAAGAAGTGCCTGCAGCAGGTGGACCAGGTCGAATGGAGTCGCATGGCCGACTACGCCCACTTTCCGCAGACGGAGCCGATACCCTGCTTCACGCGTTGCTTCATCTCGCAGATGCAGCTTTTCGACGAGCGCACCCGACGCTGGCGCATACCCGCCATGCGCCAATCGCTGGGCGTGCCCCTCCCCGGCGCCCACATAGCCAACTGCGCCCAGCGTCGCAGTCGCAATCCCTGCGCCACCATTTACCAGCAGTTCAACTGCTACGTGGTTGCCGTCTAGATGGAAATGCTCTTTGACTAGCTTTATATTACGTTACCCGATTGGATAGTTGAAATCAAGAAATGTGTATATATAATAAAGGTAATATGTGTGTATTGCATTTCTCTTCTGATTCTAGTTACCCGCACGATTCGACTCTGACGCAGTCACAGCTTATGGCCAATAAAATTACATTAGCGCTTGAGCTGCAAATTCTAAAACAAGTTTGCGTCAGAGTCGAAAATGTGTTTAAACTAGATTCGTTCCATTGAGATTTCCATTGAGTCGCTCCCAGCAGAGATATTCGTCGTACATCCAGGCGCATTTGCTGCTGGCCTGGCTGCGCTGCTCATCGGAGAGGCGGCACAGGCTGTAGTCGGGTTGGTGCTCCTGGTGGGTGGGACCGAAGGCCTGCTGCCAGTTGAGCAGGCGCCAGTTGCCCGCCTCGTCATAGAAGCCCATGGCATCGGCGAAGCACTGGAACAGGCAGGGAATGGACTCCTTCGGCTTCAGTGTGCTGTACTGCAGCATCTGCACATTGGTGGCATTCAGCTGGCCGCTGCACTGCATCAGCGTGGAGATGCTGTTGCCCGCATGCAGCTCCGCCTGCTTCAGGCAGCGCAGGCCGCGATGGGCGTAGCTGCAGGCGTCGCGCGACTTGCGCCGCAGCTCGTAGTGGCAGTAGTTGTAGATGTCGGCGCCCAGCTCCTCGGCCACGCGCTGCTTGTGCCATTTGTTGGCGTCGATGTCGAACCAGCCCTTCTCGCTGGCCAGGCAGCGCATCAGGCAGGGCACCTCCTCGCTGGTCCAGCTGGCGTACTTTGCCAGCTTGCGCAGATCGCTTTCGATGCGCTCCGGGCTGCTAATGCTGCCCAGGCATTTCTCCAAAATCTGCGCATCGCCCGTGAGATCGGCCAAAGCCTGCAAAATGTGAGGGGATTGTTGTGTTTAAAAGATGCGGCACTAACTGAAGCTGTGCAGACGCACCACAGCGAGCCACAAGGTCAATAAGCCGACAGCCAGACGCATCTCAACACTCGCACTGCACAATCTCAACTGCTGTCCGCATACAAGCGCTGAGCTCATGAGCACTCGCAGCATCCGCTTATCAGGCAGCTGAGATTAATCCGCGGGTTCAATGTATCACACAGCAGTTGAACCGCATGAACCACCCGAAGCAGTTCGTAGTGGGTTAAGCTATGTGGTTCTGCTGTACTCGGGCGAGAATATTTTATTTTGAATTTATCACATACATAATTAGTTGGAGCTTAATTGTAAATCTTGCGCACGACGTGGCGGTTGATGGGCAGCCAGCAGGAGAAGACGCGATTGGCCCAGGTGCAGACATCGGATTCAGCTTCATTGTGATCGATACACTTCTCGAGGCCATGGCGCACTGACTCCAGATCCTTGTAGTTCTGCGCGGTGAACTGCGCAATAATTGCCTTCTCATTGAAGCCCTTCTTCTCGTCGAACAGGCCCATCTTCTCCACGAAGCACTTCACGTAGCAGGCGGTGCGACGGTGCTCGGGGAACACATAGTTCAGGTACTGTTCGTAAATGTCCTCGGGCACGTTGTACTTCTCCTGGCACTCTTCGTGCGCCTCCACCGCGTCCTCGTGCGTGCGTATCGTAAACTTTGCGCTAACCTGAAAGGAGGTTGTCAATATGAAGGCTCAGTTCGGCTAGCCAAGGGCACGTTCAGTTACCTGGCCGACGGCAACTGTGGCCAACACAACTGCAATGCTGATCAATAAAGCGTTGACTTTCATTTCTAGGCTGCGACTGAGACTGAGACTCTGATTGCGATTGCGAGTGGAACTGGACCGACTTCTGTCAGGGCCTGTGTGCGAATGTGCCAAGCGAGCCAAGATTTCTGTTCATAATTTGTGTGTAGCCAATCGGCTGCGGCTAGATAATAAACCAGAGCCAACACGCTAAAGTGAACAACATGCTAAACCCGTTGTTCGACTGGATTGGGATTGTCCAATAGTGGTGCAAGTGGTGCAGGCGGAGGTGGAGGTGGAGTTGGTGCTTTTGTTGCTCCGTTGATACCCTTGCGTCAGGTTTGCTCTTAAGAAAAAATAAGAAGAAGAAAACAAAACGAGTAAGTGTAGCAAACGGGTTTGGGTTTGGGCCACGGCGAAGACTGCGACGGCGGCTGTGATGTCGACGTCAACGTCGACTGCGGCTGCGAGTTTGCTGTTAACGGCATTGTTTGGGCAGCGCGTTGGTTGGTTTTGGCCTGGTGTTATATAATCGGCGGCGACGTCGGTGGCTTTAGTATGTAGTGGTTACGTTTTGTTTGAGCCAATTAAACGATTTGTTTTTGTGCCACAAATTCACTTGGTCGTTGCCGCACACAAACACACACACACACACACACACACACACACACACACAAGCAGTGTGTTTTTGTTGTTGCTGAAATATGTGAGTTGTTGTTTTTATTATTTTTTATTTGAAGCTTTGCTATTTTTTAGCTGCTGCAAATTCTAACACCTCGTCGGCCATTTGCTGCACACTTCCGCAATGAAAAAATAAACGTTAGCCTCTTTTGGGCACTCGCTGCCGTTTTTACCTGCCACACAGCAGCAGCAGCAGCAACGACAACAAAAACCAAAACATTTTGTTGATATTTAGTTTTGTCGCGGCTGCAGAGCCGCAAATAAATTAAATAAATTATTCAATTGCATTTATTTATTACCAACCAATTTGGCTGCCCAGCGGACTTTTGCATTTGTGTAATTAACGGCAGGCGGTGCACAAGCTCCACAAATTGCCAACTTCAACAACAACAGAAACGGCGCGACTCCTGAGGGAATTTCCGTTGCAGCTGTCATTGGTGCGCCGAGGTTCTTAAACCCAAGCTCAGAGACGTAGTCGGTGAAAGGCTTATAAATGGCCCTGTCTGCCAGAGACAATTTACGGCTCTTGATTGACATCTATTTTTATGTTCAATAATAAAAGCCTCTCTCAAGTGTCTGAAGAGTAATTGTAATCATTTTATGATTATATTTAATTGCATTAAATAAATTATTACAATTTATTTATTGATGCGATTGAATTTCACTCTTGCATTAAATCTCCCATTATTTCAGCAACAATTATGTATTTTGCATGCCCCGTTAGCCCCTTGCACGATTCAGCTGCCAGCCACTGCATTCAGTTCAACAACAAAAATCCTAAAGCCCAAAAAAAAGTATAAAATAAATATATCCATATAAAAATGCTGAAAAATATATATATGAATATGTGAAATGTCTCCTCGCTGGGCGCATGGCATTTTATGGGGCGGCCATCAACCTGCGACTCTTTTCAAGGGTCAACATTTTCAGTTATCGTTTTAAACTTTGATGCCATAAATTGAACAAACTGCTGTGGGGCACAGCCAGCGTCCACCCACCTGCCATTACCTGGTCTAGTATTTATTTAACAGCTCAAAAATATTTGCAATACGCTTCACAAATACATTTTTTCTCAAACACACATGGAAAATATTAAATTTTGTTGCTCGAAATAAAAGATGGGAGTGCATTTAGCTGAGAATATTATTGGGCTTAGATAAAAATTAAAATATTTATACTCTATGAAAAAGGTTTCTTGCAAATTTCTTATAGAATAAAAATTCAATAAAGCTAATCCACTTAAAAATTCGACTGAATGTAAGAAATACAATAAAAATTTAAACGCTTTAAAATGAAACAGATCGTCTTTTATTCTCCTTAGTGCTAAAGCTGGTTAACCGTGTTTAACTTTTGTAAAATGGGGAAAAACATAAAGTCAACGTCATAGAATTTCATTGCTGTTCCCTTGAATAAAAATTGACAAAAAAAAAAAAAAAAAAAAGCAAAATTGTATGGCAATTTAAAACAAAAGCAAGAAAAGCAAATGCCAAAAGCTACATGCAATACTACACGATGCTTTGCGTTTGTTTGCATGCAATGCATGGACTCATCTTTTTGTTGTTTGATTTTTTCGTTTTCATTTTGTTTGCGTTTGATAGTAGTGGTCAAATGCAAATTCAATTGGACGTCGTGTGCATGCAGGCCGTGTGGCACAGGATATCCGGGCGGCAGCCATTTTAGGCATATATATCGGAGTCCTTGACCACCAGCTCCAGCAGCAGCAGCAAAGCAGCCAAAAACTAAACAATAACATTTTTTCAAGCCGATAGCAAACACACACTTACAGCACTCTCTGACCCACGTACACTCTGTGCTATACATATATATATATATACATAGGTGTAGATATATATAGGTATGGTTTTTTGATTTTTGTTTTCTTCGACTGCCAATAAATCAGAAATTGAGCCCTGCCTCCCATTGGCTGCGGCCGCCTGTCTCTTGCTCTTTGTCTTTGGCTCGTATATTATGAGCTCATATTAAAACATTTTACACACAATTTCGTTGCAGTTGGTGGCCTGACTGCCTGCCTGCCTGCCTGGGCCAGGCATGAATTATTATGCACCTAGGCGTATACGCAATGTTTAATTTTCAACTCGAGCGGCAGCGCGCTGCACACACATAAATTCTAGGGCCGCCGACAAACGACTTGTTCAATTTCTCTATATTTTTGCCGGGCACTGCCTAAACTGAGCCCCAGCCCGCCCCTCATCAAGGTTGCAGCAAGAAAATATGTCCGAGCTGGCTAAGGATCCTTTTTTCGCTCGCTCTCTCCCTGCTGGCTCCAAGCTGAACTGATGCAGGCCAGCCACGTACACATGTCGGGAGCTAACTGCAGGCAGCCACGTTGCCCATTGCCCATTGCCCATTGCCTATTGCCCAGGGGCATTGTTGCTCCTCTGCTGGTCGTTGGCATCATCATCATCATCATCAACAGCGACGCAGCAGCAAAAATTTCAGCCATTTGTCCTGGATGCTTGCGGCATAAAAATATGCCAGGGCCAGCATTTTCATGCGGGTCATCTACTCCCAGCTACAGTTCCAGCTACAACTAGCAGCATTTGAAAGTCATGTGCTGCCCAGTTCCTTTTTCCCCTCCCTGCCCAAACGTTAG